GTGTATTTATTTCATAAAATTTATTTTAATTTTGATCAAATAGAAAAATTTGTTTGTTTTGAAATTTTCATACAGGACTATAGTGAACTCGAATCCGCACTATGCGAGGTATTGCTGTAACTTCAAATTATTGAATATAAAGAAATTTTGAAATTACAATGAAATTGGTGTATTTTTTTATATGAAATTATTTTTTATGACATGATAATGAAAATTGAATGTAGTAATTTCGACTATTAATTCATTAGTTCATTGTAATAGTAGAATAAATTGACAAAAAAAAATATCTTCTTGAAAAAGTACAAAAATGAAATTGAAAATCAGTTTTTGGAATTACGCACAAAATATTAAATGCAATCATATAAATAATTAATGAAATATAATAATAAAAAATTGTATCAAAATTATTTACAAATTCTGCAAAAAGAATACGTAGAAATGTTATGATCAATGGAAGTTATTTTTGATAAAGTATATAAAAACTACATCAATTTAACTGAAATTTTAGTTAAAGGTAATTATGTAACGTAATTTAATAATCTCTACATTACTTTAGATTATTAAATAATGATATAACAAGGGCTGAAAGAGCTAGGGTTAATAGACTTTAATAAACTTTATTGATTATTTGTTGTAACTTACTTATAATAACTGTATATTCTGTAAAAGTGGGGATGGTTCCAAATAAAGGAACTTTGTTAACTAAAAACTAAACTGAAATATAAAAAAATAATAAGAATGAAGGAAAAGTATTTTCGTTTTCTTGTGGCCTGTATTTAAGGACGTACAATAATTGTGCATTATTTGGCTTTATCCATTGTTTCGAGTACATTATAGTTTTTTTCCATTCTGTCGAGTTCAAGCTGTAATTTGTTTAATCGCGTGGAAACCATCGATGCTGTTGCTGTTCTGTTATTTTGTCGCAGTACGAGCAGACGTCGGCTTTCGGCGAAACTTTCAAATCGTTCCACAAATCCATATCATTAAATTCGTACAATCAGTTGCATTTTTATGATAACTAAAATTGAAGAATTTGATTCCAGATTTTAAATTTAATAAAACGTTTTCTTTTTTTCTACTTAAATTATAATTTAACCTCAATCAATTCTATGGAGTCTATTTATAGTTAAGCAATATTAGTAACGGATATTTTTTGAATGGGAGAAAATACAATTTACAATTTGATACTTACAAAATAGTTAAGTAAGTTTTAATAAAATATTTATTTTAGAAATAGTTTTTGTAACTTTAAAATGAACAATAGCTTAATTAAAACTGTAAACCTGTTATTTCTTAAATACAAAGTATATTTTTTTTAATATTCAAAATATCTCAAATTCAAGAAAAAGAAACAATTAGGTTTTATTATATACTTTTATAGCAAAATTATAATTAGTTTAAATAAAGAATTATAATAAAATTGATATACTCATATAATAATATAAATCTTTTTGTAAGTTATGAATTTTTAATGATAAACATTTGCTAGAAATTAATTTAAGAAAAAGCTTTACCATGAATAATTTTCTAATTTACCGACAGAACATTGTACAAATCTCTTTTATTACTAATTATTTTTAGAGTTTAGTACCATTATGATTACGTCGCCAAAAATTAATTAATTAATTAAAAGCGACGTAATTAAATTACGTCTAATCTACGCATTTTTATAATATTCACTCACATTTAATTCATTTTTTAATTGGGTTCGTTGCTGACATTAGAATTGTGGTTTACTCAACCCGAACTCACCCTTCGGTATACCTCGGAACGAACCTTTAATTAACAAGGGTATCCGTTTCTCTCCTCTTCCTAATTACCTAATGAAGTAAAACGCATGATATCGTGTCCAACCTTCAGATTTAATTTTAGGTATTCTCTTAAAGCTTTAAATTTTCTTAAAGTATTTTTATTTTCGTCATTTAAAGATGTACTAAAGGATTCTTTATGATTATATTCATAATAAATAAATAATAATAAAACATAACAAAAAAAATTGTTATAAACTTCTTTTAATTAGAAAATTCTTATAATACAGCATAGTTTTTCCGTTAATATAAAGAATTATTAAATATTCCTATTTAATAAAATAATGTTTTTAGTACTAAAATAAGGTAATTAACAATAAAAGTTTTATAGCTGACAAAAAGTAGATTTTTTTTATGTATATTTACATGTTATTATTTGTTTTAATCAAGACGAAAAGTCTATCCACCAAAGTCTTTGTATCGGGTATACAATTTATTTAACTTGTTTCTACAAATATGTATTAAATTAGCTAGAATTACATATTTTATGTTAAAATACGTGTGCATAGTAAATCTGATTGTTAAATCTATCAAAGAACAAGCTAATTTTTTTAAAAATTTTAATTAAGTAGAAACTTTTCACTTGTTTTTTTTCCCTTATATAATTTTGTATGTTTTATTTACAATCTTTTCATATTTTATTTATTTCTTAATTGTTAAGAAAAATAAGAAATAACTTTAAAAAAAATATATATGTTTGAATTTAATTAGTTTATTGCTATTTTATTGACACATATTATAAGTATAGAGCTTCTATTATGGTGCGTACACACAACACGCGAGAAGCAAATCGTGTTCAACTCTCGATTACATTAATTTGATGCGCGCACATTCATTTTATACTAAATATGCAAACACATGTGTTGTGTGTACGCACCATTATAATGATCTGAATTAATTGTTTAGTAAACAAACTGTTTAAGAAGAAATGTTTTGAAAGACAGAATTTCAGTATTTTTTTTATGTCGTATAATTTTATTCACAATCTGTTCATCAATGTGAACTTTTCCGGTGGATAGTTACCATTATGATGATTTTTTTTTTAATTTGTAGGTAGTCTGTCGTCTTGTAGGTTAACTTCATGATAATGATATTTATTGCAACAGTTATATCATAAATGAATAACACAAATTAATACATTTAAGAACTGGAAGTGACATACACTTACTATATTTTATAGAAATTCAGATGGTATTTTGTAAATATAAACTTTTATCTAAATGTCTAGTAAAAAAAAATAAATCTAATTCAATGCTAATAAAAAAAATTGATTGATTCTTTTAATATTTTGTTATATAAATTTAATAATCAAAAGCATGATAACATAATCTTCCTCAGTAACTTAAACTTTAGTAGTTTAATCCAGAATTTAATAATAACTTTATCATTCTTAAATTATATTCAATTATATAACTTTTTTTGTTGCATTAAGTTGCAACCAAAAAAAAGTACGTATTTGCTTTTAAATACAAAATTTGAATATACATTTGTTATTCCAATGTTAAAAATAACTATTTTGCCAAAACCATGAAAGAGATTTATATTGCAAATTGGATATATTTGACACAATTTTATCCTTATATTAAGTGTTTAACACATTCAATACAGAATACTTAAGAATTAAGGCTATAATATTCAATATATCAATATTCTCAGATGTGTCCAAAACAAAATAAAACTCATAATATGAATACAAATTTAAAAATAATTGAACTTTTTTACCTAACAAGAATGTGATGTATATTAAATTAATCTATTAACTATATCAGTATATCTGTTAATCAGTGTAAATTACCCCGAATGGGGTAAAAGTGAATACTAGTAAGGACGTTCAGCAATATAGTATGTATCTATGACAAATACTAGAATTCGAAACTTATTTTGATGTAAATAAATATATTTTGTGTTAATAGTAGATTTATGAATACATCTTCAAAATTAATTAAGAATTTATACAACAATTAAAATATAATTTGCTAATTGATTTACTAGTATAATAATTAAAGATGATTTCAAACACAAAATTTAATTAAAAATGCAAGTTTCACATTGAATCTTTTTAAAAATTAAATATGGTAAATCTGCATATAATAAACACAATGTCTTCCTTTCAAAATTAAGAACACGGCAGTACACTTTCAATTTAGAAAAATGATTTCAAGATATTAAGAATTAATATGAAATATATTTTCTTAATTGTTCTATTCGGTATATTTGATATAATGTTATCCTTCATGTAAAAAAAATTGAAAAAAAAAATGTATTTGGTAAATCAAGGTAATTTCAATTTGGTACAAGGTTTTCAAAATCTCAAACATTTAGGCAGTAATATCAAATATGTATATTAGATCCAATGTGTCCAATTCTTGTAAAAAAAAATTAAAGACGCGTCCAACGCTGGGTTGAACACAAAATTTGAATATAAATTTGATATTTCATCAGTGATAATATTTAATTGGTGTCGGAGTCCGCTCATTAATCGCAAGCCGACCGCGTGTGTCTATGTATGTGTTTGTACGTTCACGTATACATACATATGTGTGTGTGTGTGTGTATGTAATTTATTTGTGCGCGCAGTTGTCGTCCTCCGTATGCGAATTATCTCTGAATCGGATCGAAGATAAGGGGGTTCCCTTTAAGCGCGCGAGGGTTCGACCGCCGCCCCACGTGATCGCTCGGAAAAAGGGGTAGCTCGGGTGAAGGGGGCGGTGGGTTCTCCGGGCGCGCTCGACGCTTGTGCTGGTAGTGGGGGGCCGACGAAGAGATGGCGCGCGGCCATGTTGTTACGTCACGGGCGGCGTGCGACCAATGGGCGTTCACCGAACGTCCCCGGTGGGGGCAGCTGGTGGGTTCGCCGGGTGCGCGGTCATCAGTACCCTCGCGCCAGTATCAACGGTAAGGTCGTGCGAGTGCCCAGCGAAGCCCGCGTTTCGCCCCCGCCCCCGCGACGACAATAGGGAACACAAGTAAAAAAAAAACACCAAACAAATAAACGGACCATCGAATTTGTACCAGCAAAACATCCCCTAAATAACAAAAAAAATCAAAATAAATAAACACACCACCCCCCAAAAATTAACAACAACAAACCCAAAAGAAAATAACAAAAAAAAAGTATAGTGGTTATTGTTTTAACCGTATCAGATTAGCCATACGTATATAGTGAGTGTGAGTTTTTCCGGAAAGCGCCAACACGGAATTCATAAGCTCAGTGCAGGGCCAATGTGCACCAGGTTCTTTGCCGCCCCCAGGGACGTTTGGAGGTGAACCGCCTGGGGTCCTTGCGACCCCTATTGTCGTTGCGACGCCTGCCACCACCTCAACCGCCTCCGCCGCCATCAGCATGAACCAGCTAGGTACCGTTTACGCAACGAAGCGTCGCCGTCGGAACGGAAAGAGGTGCGTACCATCCACCCACCCTTACGGGACACCGCCAAACCCAAATTTGGAACATCCCCAGTGCTTATAACCAAACGCAAGAAACGCAGTGTCAATGTGTTTATAAATGCAATCCTTCCTTTATTTTCTTCCCGTTACATTTGCATTAGTGCCAATTATCCAAAAGATCCTAAGAAGAGGTATTTTCTTTTAATGTGCTAATCCGAGGCTGGATAATCTCATTAACATGATTTAAAGCCCATTCATTTGACATTTATCTCCATTTACATAACAATTAATTGTTATATACAACTATTAAAGTAAATCTATATTACTAAATTTACTTATAAAATGATATTTTAGTGAAACGTTACTGATTTACTAATGTAACAAATCTTAACACTTTCACAAACACGTTTAAAATACTTCATGGTCGATGGGCACTTATTAATAAAACCTAACAACTACACAGTTTTTTGAATACGTTTGAATTTATACCTAACAATTAGTACAAATATCCTGCTAAATTCATGAAAATGTGCAAAGCTAGTACATTATATTTGCGTCGGTTAATTTTGTAAAAAAATGAATTTTCTATATATATTAATAGTTAATGTTTAGAAACTTTTATTTGTTCTTTATAATATATTCAAATAGTTGCACCAATCAGAGTCTTATGTATTGAAACTTTGTCCGTCCTCTTCTGATCATTCAGTTTGTGCTGCTACCATAATATGAATAATTTTCAGTTGAAATTTTCTTGGATTTTCTTATATAATATAATTTATTTATTTAACAATTTTTATTCGCCTATTTAAAACCAAAGAAAAATAAACAAAATTATTTAATCAGTAATTGTTACAGTTAATTAATTTTTAGATTTTAGAGATTTCTAGTAGCAAATATTATAAGTTTTTAGTGTTTTTGATCAGATTTGTTTATTGTCTAATACCCAATTGTTCTTATATAATTTGAATGATTCTAAAAATTAAAGTATTTGATAAATATTATACATATATTTTCAAATTAATTTTGATACAACAAAATAATTTATTTTATTATAACACATCAAATAAAATTTAATAATTTCAATTGAATAATTTACATATCAAGTTCTTATTATTTTTTATTAAATATGTATTAGTGCCAATTACCGAGTGAGAAGGAGGTATTTTCTTTTAACTACATGCACGATTCTGAGACTCAGATAATCTCATTAAGATGATTTAATGCGCATTCAGGTGGAAGATAAATAATCGGAGTCGCATTATTAACATAATAATTAAAAAATTGCATACACAGTAATATACGAATCGATTCAATACAATACGATTTACATATTGCGTCTTCGTTAAATAACACATAAGGTTACTGTTTCTTCGTCTTTGCTTGCGAGGGACAAGAGAAATATCTACCAAGTGTTGAGTATTTTAATTGGAAGTAAAATGTTTTATGGATGCAGATTTGCAACAACGTTCACATAAATTCGCATCCACGGTTATGTTATATTTGTAATTGTACTGTTTCATAATTTATAACTGAGAATATACAAGAATCAAATCAGATTATTCAAAAATTTAATGTGATTTTATATTTATTTTAACAGGATTTGCTATAACTTTTGCAATATCAATAAGAAAAATGTAATTATTTACTTGTATATAAATTTACTAATTTTCAAATATTTGAATCGACATTTTGTATAAAAATTAATTTACAAATGTTTGTTAAAATTGAATATAAATATTTTGTATAATAAATTCACTCAAAAAAAATAATGTTTTAACTATTTTATGTAATTTTACAATTTTTTATATATTTTTTATATATTTTTATATATTAATTAAAGATTTGATAATAATATTTATTTATGAATGAGACAGCAAAAAATTTAACAAAATTTTCATTTACGTTTCAATAACTGCATCATTACGTTATTTCCTTGATCTGCATCTGTTTTCTAAATATAATCGACTTGAATTTTGCCCGATTTCCTCCTTGCACTTTATATAGAATTACATAACATTCCTATTTTATTCTAATAAACGTATACACGTTTATCATATTTTGTATCTTATTTTGTTTCGTTTCTGTTCTCTTCATCATTTTAATGCCTTTACATAATCGGTGTAATTAATTACGAATGCAAATTATGTAAGCCGTTGGCCCGAGGCCGCTCTTGTACAATTTGAAGCGCGTTCACTCGTTTACCGACTTTACATGCCTCTGATTGTTGCTGTTCTAATTCGCATCGCACGTTTAAGCTAGATCTCAATGCGAGGAATTGAACACATTTCTCATCTCTTATACCGAAATTAGTACTTAGTAACACTTCAATAAATGGCATGAAAATGTAGGAAGTTTTAATGGCGTGAAATTTGCAGAATCTTAATGGTTTCAGCACAGAAAACGTAATTTTCTTAACCTTTAATCTATTTTTGTTTTATAAAAGTTAAAAAATATAAAGAACTTAATAGTTATATAAGAAATTTAGTGTTCTTTATATGGAAACGTATGGTTTAATCATTTCAATATGTTGATCGAAATTAAGAAATATTAAATAAATTTGATTATTTTGATTTATTTTCAATGCGAGGATTTGAACACATTTCTTATCTCTTATACCGAAATAAGTACTTAGTAACACTTCAATAAATGGCATGAAAATATAGGTAGTTTTAATGGCGTGAAATTTGTAGAATCTTAATGGTTTCAGCACAGAAAACGTAATTTTCTTAACCTTTATTCTATTTTTGTTTTATAAAAGATAAAAAATTTAAAGAAATTAATAGTTATATAAGAAATTTAGTGAACTTTATATGGAAACGTATGGTGGCATCATTTCAATATGTTGATGAAAGTTAAGAAATATTAAATAAATTTGATTATTTTGATTTGAATACATTTCTCATCTCTTATACTAAAGTTAGTACTTAGTAACAATAAATGGCATGAAAATATAAGAAATAATAAATAAATTTTAAATAGTAGACTAAATTTCAATAGTTTAATGTTATATTTATGTACAATTCAATAATACAAATAAATTACATAAAAACATTACATAAAATAATTTTTAATCTAAATATTTCTTAATCACATAATAATAAACATAACATTTATGAATTTTTATCCAAATTTTAAAAATATACCCAATGTTTTAAAACATCTATCACATTTTTATTTTAAATAATAAATAAACCTGTTTTAGTGTAATTTATTAACTAATAATCAAAATGTTATAGAAGTTGAAACAAAACTTAACTATCTAGTTTAATTTTTTTTTCTAAATATCTTCGAGTTTGACTTCAAATTTTGTTATTTAATACACTCTTAAAAACATTAGAAAAAAAATCTTTATTAAATTGTTTATTACTTTCGTCACTTGTGATTTATTATGTAATTTGTTAATAAAAAAAATGTGAAATGAAAAGAAAATTGAAACGACGAAAGAAAAAATTTGATATAGTATTTTGATAAGGTAAATGTATCCTAAAGTAATTAAACACATCAATCATAAATTAAACAAAGACTTGTATAATTCAGTAGATTCGAAGTACACCATTAATCAAAGTTAGTTTATTTATTTGGACGTACTAATCGAGAATACTCATGTTGGAGGGAATAGTTCAATTAGTTTTTAACCTAATTGTATTTATACAAACATACATATTTGTTTACTTGTTTATCTTATTCATGTTTAAAATATTTCAATTTACGTTTAAGATTAATGATATTTCTTGAAAGTTCGAGCAAGATTAAGAAATATAAGTAATTATTTCAATTCATACAATTTTTTACAATAGAAATAATTGTTGTACAGTGGAACCTCGCTTAATGAATTTAAATATTTCCGGATATTATCTCCTATACTGAAACATATTCAAAATATACACATAATATGTGAAGACAAGTTTTAAAAATGATGAAGCTGCGCGCCTGCTCCGGGACTTCTCTACTCATCGTCACTCGTTATGCGAATAGTCGCTCGCTAAGCGAGCCAAAATTTATTTTGTTCGTTAAGCGAGATTCCACTCTATATTATTTTTATAATAAATATTTATTTCCTAAAAAATAATTATAAGAAAATGAATTGAATGAAATAGAGACACAATTTTTTTAGTTTATAATTTTTCTATTTAAAAATAAACATTTTTGTTCTATTTAATTATGATTTTATGTATATGACAAGTTATTTAATTTTATCAAAAAATACTTTTTTTGTATTAAATTGTGGAGTTATTTTTTTAAATAAAAATATGGATAATAAAACTTAATATATATACCAAGTTAACAAAATATAGTATAAGAATTGATATTATTTTATCATTTTATTAAATTACATTTTCTTTAGAAAATTCCGATTTTTAATCATTTTCGATATTTTTATATATAATCATAATTATTAATAATTGTCTTTTTGAATCAATTATTAAATAATATTTTGTATATATATAAAAGACAAAACTTTTAGGATCTTGTTAATTTATATAAATTTATTTGAAAGTTGTCTTAGAAACTTTAAGACTTTATCAAATGAAATTTGTTTTGTTTAATAGAAATTTGTTATGAAAATTTGAAGGTAAAGAGAAATAAATTCAAGACTTAATGTGTTCTAAAATTTAGACTAGTAAACTAACATAAAATAGTAAATAAATAACATGTATACGTATAACTATGAAGTGTTTTTCAAGTTTTAATTAAGCGAAATGTATGATACGCAAAAGCCTTAACGATTTGCCTTCAATGCGGATGAAATTGATTAAATTGAGCTACATATAAACACATACATATAAATAGGTGCATAATGCATGTGCAGACGAATTCAAATAAAATTAAAGGCAATATCAAACGGGAACGTGAACGATTTTAAAGTTGAAATTTATGCGAAGTGCACGGGTTTCATTGCGTTTTAATTAATTTTATTGGGGCAATTAAATGTGTTATGGTAATTTTACAAAACACTCCGCCATATAAATTAGCAACAAAACGCAAAATGCAGCCATTTCCATTTCGTTTTC